TGACTGACAGGCTGTAGCCTAACTTGACCGAGGCAGATGCCCATGCGTGCCCTGGTTGATGATGCTTGGAGCTTAGCCAGGCATAGATGTGTCCACGATAGGGCATCGACCAATGCCTGACTGAGCGAAAGATACGGATACATAGGCAAACGAAACCATATCAGTGCTTGCATGCGAATCGTTCGGGGCGTGTTGCTTGTCGTACTGTCGCTTCCAAACCCTTGGCGGATTGGCCCACCTGAAAGAGACCAATTTTGTTGCCAACTCGTACCACAGTAAGTGACTTCTGTTCTAATGCGACAGGTCTCTTGGAAGTCTTTGCATAGATCCCCATGGAAATCTCAGAATCCATCCGGAGATAGCAACGGGGGTCAGGTCCACTCCCCCGAATATTTTGCAGACAGGGGCCGGTGGCGTGACTCGACAGTCAGACCGTTCTTGACTATCGCCCGGGCGTCGGCGAGTCTGCTCCGCAACCAGCCATTCAGCTGCCTTCCAAACATACCCAGGAGGAACGATTGAGGAACGTTGTAGATCGAGATTCAGGACCCCTGGATGCAGAGTCGACCAAGAAAAAGACGATGCAAACAAGGCAGCGGGCTCGCGCATAGAGTCAGTCGGGCCACTTGTTCCGATCATGTCTCCAGCTTTCCGTTCGCCGAAAGGGTCAACCGTAATTTGACATGGTTGAGAATACTTGCTCCCGTTCGTGAATATCCACACCATAACGGCCTCAACTTTGGTGCCCTTTGTGAATTGGTCCTCCGGGAACGTGGGTATCACCAAAAGACGCCGCCCCGGGACCCGCTGCCGGGCGCCAAGACCAGATCGGCATCCGTGAATATTCAATTCCGCAATCCCGCTTGCGAGTCTTCCCGGCCCCGGGATCTACTGTCACCTGCGTAGGTATGCAGCCAAAGGGACATATGGTCAGAAAACTTTGTTACTGGCAAACCCCACAAGCCTCGGTTGTTGGAGCACTCAACTTGTCGATTTTGAGTGTGGACAGCGCGATCATGCGCCCCGACAATCCACCAGGGACGGGAAGACGTGCAACCCCGGTGCGTATCAGCTTTCAGATGGCGGTGCTGCATACGTCGTTCGGTACCCACGAGCTTGTCCTGGATGATGCGGAATCACCAGAGGAGGGACCCCATGTGAAGGGAAGCTGCCTAGCATGATGATGGTTCCTTAGCTTCTGAGCCGGCGTTCAGCACCTGGAATCCACGACCCGTCCGATATCTCAAGTTTGTGCGTTGTCAAGGTAGGTCTAGATACGGGCCGAGGGGTGAGACCAAAGACTGGAAACGTTCCGCCAGTATGCATATAGCTCAAAGCTTTAGCTAGAGTTTCGTGCGCTTAGATGACGTCGCTTGCATCCCAATTTCCTCTAGACACAAAGGGGAGGCATTGTGCATGTCATCGTGGCATAGTAGTCTAGTTTGCCGGCTGCCATTTTCAAGGCGCGAAACTGCCTGTCCAGATCGATTTGGAAGCCTCGATACGTTGAGGGGGCTTAATTGGAAATCCTTCAGACCGACAAAGGTCGAGAACCAACACCAAATCAAAGTCGGTATCGTGTAGCGGGACAGCTCCAACGCCGCGCCGACAAGCAATGAGGCTCCAATGCGACCACACGTCATGCAGCGAGTTTTGGTGGAGTCGAGCCTCGGCCGAACTGGAAATTAGCAGAGGCCGAAGTCCGCTTCTGAGCAGAAGCGTACCGATGGCCCTATTAACGCTCAGAGAAGCTGGTAGGGCGGATAGCGCCTAGAAGACAGCGGGTACACGGGCAGAAGAATCAGTGGTCTATCCGATGCTGACGATATCCCTGTTTCAGGACCTGGTGTGTAGGAGATGGTAGCAACCAAAAATGCATGTAGAGCCGTGTACCGTCCCCAGCCCGCGTTCAGGTGCGTTGGTATCACGATGGCGGGGAAAGGAGGCGAATAGTCTAAGTGAGCCATTTTCAAGATTCCGGCTTCTCCCTTAGGCCCTTGATAGAAGACCCTGAAAGAAATGATTTAGGGGGTCATGAGGAGGTATCCGCGGAACGGGGACCAGGGGATCCCAAAGCTTTGGATCCCGATCTCGTGACGGATGGAGAGGGAAGTTTCGATTTCGCGAATGTACACTATCTGTACCGGATGGGAGGTTTGCGGCGCAGCCAGCAGACCGGGTTCAACTTGTCTGGATCGTAAACGGTAGGAGAAATACAAAATAGGAGGGCCAGGGTTTAGGGTCGCTGTTCTGTCGGTGGTTGACAGTCTAAGTCGGAGGCCGAAAGGCCGCTTTCGTTGCCGAGAGGTGGCTGTTACTGGGCCCTGGCGGATGCAATTGGCTTATGATCGGCCCAGGATCGCCCGGGATAACTTTATGAAAGCTAATGCAGTCCAGACGGGGAGCGGGAGGCATCCGCTGGCTTGGGCGGGCTGCGCTACCTGGCGGATACTGATCCGAGCCAACCCTACTGTGAGGTATTAGTGTAAGGTAGGTAGCCCCGTGCTACGGATTGGGTGTGGCGGACATAAGATTATTGATAACATGTGGCCCTTGATGACAGCGGGCAGGCGGCGTCGCCATCATCAACAGACCAGACGGGGACGATTCAGGAGAAACAGGACGATCGTTGCCTTGTGAAGGTTCTGGGTTGATTTCAACGACGCAAACGGGCGCGCGTTGTTGAAGAATCACACCTCAGAAGCAGGTAGGCATTCGATAGCGGACCGTGCTATGCTGAGCTGAAGTTGATCGAAGGGCATTCATAAGAAACCCAAACCGATGTGGTTCTCGGGCGGGATTCGACGGTGGAGGGAATTCCCGACGGTCATGCGACGTGAAGAAGCTGCACGAAGATAGTGTAAACAAAGATTGAGATTCTGGAAGATGATGCATGGAGATAGATGGTAGTTTCGATGGAGACAAGATGGGACTGCAGAGGTACTCGGAGAATACAGCCCGGGATTGGACGTACTCGAAAACGGTACGTACAGGATCGGTGTTGAAGTATGATGCAGCTGCGCGTGTGAGCGGCACTTTCCTGAATGGGGTCAAGTGGATGCGGCACTTGACAGCAGTGTAGCCGATTAGTCAGTTAGGCCAGGATTCCCACTAAGCCGTACAGAGACGCGGAGATGACCCATCGGCATTTATGCGGTGGAGGGAAAGAACCATCTTCTAGAAAAATTCGACAGTCTCACGATGATTCCACCTCGTCGTTATGAAAGGGGGGGTACACGAGCGAGGATGAGGTCACGACCGACGGACAATGTTCCGCTCTTTGGGTGGTGCTTCCGCTGCACTGCACGTTATCTGTTTTGTACGGAGTAGCGTCCACGGAATGGGGTTTGTTGGAAAAAAAAAAGGTAGGTACCTCCTAGCATAATGGTGGGTGGGATGCGGCTGCTACTGTATTTCTCCGTACTCCGTGCTACCAGGTAATACCAAAGCACCTAAGGCACATAGTTTCTCGATGTTGTGTAATCAATGTCGGGGATGATTGGTTGTCTCTCCCTCAAACCATCTATCCCACCCAGTCCGGCGATTAACTAAGCTTTTTCTGCTCCTCCGCCGTGAGATTTCTAATTCGTCCCATGTCAAAGCTGATTGGAGTCGGCGACGGCGTCAGCCACAGACCGATGAGACAGAGCCCGCTGTTGGCTGCTTATTACCGCCGCCCACGAGGTGGTTTTGACGGCTCGCCGTGGTTTTTTTTTGTAGATACCTAGGATACTCCCTGCTAGTGCTACCGAGATATCATCTTTATGGCAGCGTTATTGGGCTGAAGCCAAACTTCTCTCTGAGGACACTATCCTGGTCAAACCCTGATGGCTCGGTTTACCAAGGGCACGACCCAGTGCGACGGGTGTGTCAAGTCCGATCGCGATGAGCTTGAAAACCGGCTGGATGGCCTGCTATGGTCTAGGTAGTTGGTGAACGAGAGTTCACGTAGGTGGTATTACTGTGTATGTGATAGACCCGAACGTGATTGTCGGTAAGCAACCACTTACACGGAGATGTTATCTCCGCTCCGTGGATCTACGCCCCAGGCCCGATCGGCATAGAGGAACGGAAGACAACACAATGATGCTAACGTTACGTGTGATTATCATAACGTGCCTGAAGGGACCAATTGTCTCACCCCCTGGAGACAGTCCATAGCCATGCAGTGTTCCAATGAGTAAGGTATCCAGCCTCATGATTGGGGGGTTGTCTAAGGTAGATGAGTCACAACGGGCATGCCATGCGGTTATAGTGACTGAGCAGCGGACATGAGCGAGAAGAGAGAGCTGCAGCAAAACTACCTTAGCTTAGCAGAATTGATAGTTGTGAGGGGCATGTCCACTATTTCGTTGAAAGCATCCATCGCGCTTGTGGTCACAGGAAGGAAGAATCTGCCAGTTAAATCCGGCGGGAATACCTCGCCGATTACCTGAGCGTTATCTACCTTAGTTACCTTAGTCCGGGCCTGGCCCACCAAAGACCCACCTCTGCACACCTTTACCACAAGTGGGACACACCGATGCGTGCCTGATCCTCCTCCCCGGCCTGTTGGCACCCACGCACCACACACCACGCACCCACGCAGAGCACCTCATCCACGCCCGCGGTTGTTTCCCGCTTTGCATCTCCACGACAAAGTAGCCTAATTTTGCCCTAGCTGACGGTTTACCCTAGGCACCTGGGGGCTTTTGGTCCGGGCAAAAATGATCTCCATTGCTTATTCTCGCCCTCCTCCGCCCGGGCACCGTTTCGGGAACCGATACGGCCAACCTGACAAGAGCAAGGGACCGACAGCTTGGGCGTAGCCACACCGCACATGAGGTGGTGACGAGACAGCATCTCGTACTCGTACGGATACCGATGCAGCTACCCCAGATGAGAACGACGTCCTGCGTTTCTGTACTCCGTCCACACTCCCAAACCAACTGAGAGGGACACACTACTTATTCACACATGGAAGCTTCGATCCTTGGCACACGGGCCACGGCTGGGACAACATGGCAGCTGGAGCAAAGACGCAGGGAAGTAAGCAAGTGGATGTCAGCCCTCCACCGCCCACGTTCTCAGACATCAGAAAGAACCCAAAGATCCCAGAAGCAAGGATCCCAAGCAGGAAGCAGCCACGGTATAGCTCACTTGAATGGGCGGTGGCGGGTGAGGGTTATTGGGACTTGGGGCAGCTGCCTCCAACAGTTGTTGGTTCTCATATTCCACATGGAAGGGATGGATCATGGCAACCACTTCGGATAGCAGTCTATCTGCCTACCGCCACCACTCCCGTGCCTCTACTTTGGTTCAGCCTGATGCATTGCAACTTGATCCGCCACAAGTCCATCATCACCATTGCATCTTACCATCGCCGACCATCTTCGCATGAATCTTGACCCCATGCCGACGCCTTACAGCTCAAGCTCAAACCAACCCTTGGTCACCTCGAGCTGGCCTTGCGAGCCTCTGCTCCGTGCGGTACAGAGCACACCTCAACAGCTCTCTCGACTCTCGAGTCCCTTCTCACGGCACTGTGCCTCACGAGACCTGTCTTGGCGGCTTGTCAACGGTTGACCGTGAACCTACCTACCACCGGCGGAGGAGCGGGCCACAGAGCGGCCTCGCTACCTTGAATCTTGTCCGTGCTCCGCAATCTCTCCGCGCACCATCGGCGAATAGGCTGTCACCCTCCGTTCCAACTCTCAACTTTCTCCTCATCGCCGCCGGACTTTTGTAGCAGTCCACCTACCCGACCCTTTCCTTTACGATCGATCAACAACGAACCGTTGGCTCCGCCTGCCGCCGTGGGAGTGGCCAGCGGCCGAGGCCTTGTCGGCAGAGAAACATCATCGCGGCTCTTAATCGTTGACTTTGAATTAGAGTTTGCTGCTCGAAACTAGACGCCATGACGTCTTTACACTCTTTACACCCTCGGACGGTGTCATGGTATCAGACGGGTTTGATGGTGGACTCAATCCCACTGCACGCTCCCGCCGCATAGAGTGCTGCGCTGGCCAGAAGTTTGGCCAGAAGTATCTCTTCTTCCTGTCGTCAGCCTACCTCGAACAACCTGCCTTAAGCTGCACCGCCTGTGAGCTCCCACAGAGTTCGCGGTCAGGTACAACCTGCCTTCTATGCAGCTCGCCGAAGCATCGTCGACCTCGGCCGACTGGTAGCTACCGTTCTTGGCGCATATCAGACTTTGGCACGCACCGACAGCATGGGATCTTTCACCATGGAATGAATTAGGACGACACAAAAGTCCGCCCGCGGCGACCATCCCACGCGAGGCTGTCGGCACCGTTGGCCTCAAAGAGGAAGTCCCTGCATGGATGGGAGCTCGAACGTCTGCCACTGTCTGTTCTCCGAACCTGTCCTGCAGGCATTCGACTCTTCAACTGACACGCTCGAGCCCTATCGACAAGGGACGTTTTTGCACCTCACAAAGATGAGTTAGTTCTCCCGGCGGCACCTCGTCAACTACCCGTCGGGCATACGAGAGCCGTTGGATCAATTTAGGCCCCGGATAGGAGAACAGGAGAGCATTGAGACCGTGTTAGTACCTGTAAGGCGTAGGTATCTGGGCAAGGCAACAAATTTGGACAGGTTTTGGCCCAACCCAGTGGTTATGGTCCATAATGATTCATCGACCCTGGCACCCTGTCGATTTGCCCAAATTGGCATTTCCAGTCAGGGACCAACCAGGCATAGCAATGCCAGTTGGCAGACTCGGTCTCTGGCGTCATCAATTCAGTCATGCCTTGTCGTCTTGTCTCCATTCGAGTCCAGAACCTCTCGAGGATCGTACAGTATGACGGCTCCGAGCTACTGATCTAGAGCAGTAGAGTCGCGGCATCGTCGATGATGAACGCGCAGCAAAAGTCAAGACCCCGCCCTCGGCGCCGGCCTCGTCAACAGGCCGGAGTCTTGGCATACGGGGTTGCAGTTTACCCTGATCGCCCCGTCAGCGGCCCCGTCAGATTCCGCCGCATGCACAAATCGAGAAAATTTAGGATTATGAACAACCCGGTGTTGGTCATCGGACTCACTGCATTGAACCTTGGCTAGGTGTCGTGCTCGAAGGCGTCCGCGGCTCAGCGATGTTGGCATGGTGCGGCGCAACGGAAGATACACAGCTACATGTTCACACCAAAAACGGCCAGATCGAATCTACGGTTACGAAGTCAGAGAGAGAGAGAGAGAGAGGCAAGAGACGTTGGGGTCAACATGGCTTCACCGTCCCGAACGGACGGGTGGGGTTTGCAAACAGAGAGCAAGTAAGACATGAGCACACTCGAAAGAGAGACACAGAACAGATCGGGTGGTTTTTTTCTTGTCAGTCTCGGAGCGATTTGTCTGCCTGGGCGTGTGTCTCTCCCGTGTCTTCGTCGACCATCTCGTTCCATTCCTTGGGCCCATCACCCATGCAGAGCTTACTCAGGTTCGGGGACTTGTGAACCTCCACTCCCGAAGTCTCTGGAGGTACCGATCAGTCACAGTCACAGGAGCGGACCCGCTCAACCTGCCTTACCTACCCCTTGAAGGTTGACAGCAACATTGCGGGCCTTGTCCTCGCGCAACCCACTTTCATGAGGCGTACACTCGGCTTGGTTCCTACCAAGTAGCGTTCCGTTCACGATTTGTCGAGTGTTCCCCGAGGCAAATGGTCCAGACTCGGCCCATGTCAACATACTCGCAGCATCATGTCATCTTTTGTTCATGATCAAGCCTCATTGCTTGGAAAGATCCCATCTCTTGATCCCGGCAGAGTTGTGGGTGACCCTGCTTGCTGGATATAAGATGTGGTCGGCTGTTCCGTCTGATTGGGATCCCCCTACACCGGAGTCAGAAGCTATTCATGTTTCGAATCGGGGACCTTGATCAACATCACAGTTCTAACTCCGCCGACCTGACGTCGATACCTACTCTGCATACCTTCAGCTTCAGCGATCTGGTGTAAATGATTCTTTTTTAAAAAGACCATCTCGGCCCAGAAACATTCCATCGATCCAGACTGTTCATTACCTCCAAGGCAACAACATTACCTCTAGTCGAAATAAGAACCCCTAGGTCTCATCTTACACACCAAGATTGAAGAGAATCATATCTTGTTACACCAACAAGCAGCCTAGAAAGACAAGCCATCCACCACCACGTCCACACATCCTCTCCCGCGTCCACCCGCCCGCAAAAGCATTTAAGGACTTTGGTGACGAATAAGAGAAAAAGGAGATCAAGAAGAACGAAAGGCCCCAAGACCCTGGATCAGCACATAGCACACAACAGGGTCGGCAAACAAGATCCGCTCGAGACACGTCCACCATTCTGCAGTCAGCAATCCGCCGTATCAACAGCGGGAAGCAGCAACAAATAAGCCGTACTTTACACAAGCAGCGACCGGCTTGCAAATCAAATCCCAATCCCTATCCTCGCCGTCCAGTTCTCTGAACTCCGCAGCGGACTTTACCTTCTCGCGGCTAGCTCTTGGGACCAGAAAGAAAAAAGGCTGCTAGCGCGCTGCTACTACCAGCTACATCCCACAACTTGGCTACGTACCAGACGTACTTTTGATACACGACGGTCGCCAGTTGACCACACACACTCTCCAAATTGAGCACAAAACGGAACCAGGATCCTTCTTGAGGCCGTCTCATTTTCATAACTACTGGGCCCGCCCGCGCACTCGGACATAAAGACGTCGCCGACCGTTAATGCCACCCGCAGCAGACCAGGCCAGCGAACCCACACCCACGCCCACGCCTACACCACCACCTACCTATTCGTAAGGTACCTACCTGGTCCTACGAATACCTAACGCACCGCATCCGCACTCGCTCCAGCTTCAGCTCCAGTTCCAGCTCCTCCAGCAGCAGACTCTCCCCGACAGAACTCCCCTAGTCTGCCCTGTCTGCCCTCCACTGTACCCGTCGTACCGCCGTACTTGCATCGTAAAAGGTACGGGGCAAAGTACCGCACCAAAGCAACCAGCATCAGCACCAAGCACCCGCAACGCACACACCCACCCCCCTTGCCTGTCCTTTCCTCTCCTCTCTCTCCTCAACCTCCACTGCTTGCTTGCTCTGCCCTCCTTAGCATTGCGAGCGACCGAACTCTATCAACCCCAAAAGCTTCCGAGGCCTTTTCCCTGTGCATCACATAATCTCGCGCGCGCACATTAGACGCACCCCGTCTACTCCCCGTCGTCTCCCCGTTGTTGCTCGACATTAATAATTTGTCTACGCCCTCCATCCCAGTACCTTGCCGTGCTTACTGTCCCGCCCTCTTGACCCTAGCGCCGCGGACTCTTGGCTGTGTCATCCCGACTCTTTTACCTTTTTGGTTTATTCTTCCTTTGACTGGGTCGACTTCGTTCTCGCTATCCTATATAGTTCACTTACACGCCTCTCACCTCCCTCACCCACAGACTTATACGCACTTTGCCCCTCGGTCTACATCAACAACATCTTCCTCTTCCACACATCGCCACACCTTATCCTTCCTTCCTACTACTACAACAACAATAACAACTACTACTACTACAACTACTACATACTACCCCATTAACTAGTAATCATTCACCACCACAATGGGAAGCGGCCTACCCACACCTCCCTTGGAGGACCAAAAACCCAGAAAGAGCTCCTCCAGCTCCAAGTCTATCAAGCCCAACCGCCATACTGCCAAGCGCGCCAGCCCTCACAACGCGACACAACATCACGATCATAGCTCTCAAGCTATGTCTGCCGATGGACGTCACAAGAGGGTATGGAAGGCTTGCGAAAGGTGTCGTATGAAGAAGACCAAGGTAAGCAGCACTACCACACCCAACCTCATGGTCACTCCCATCCTGACTTGGACTCCACTTAGTGCGACGGCGAATTCCCCTGCAAAAGGTGTAAGGACGATGGTCTCGTTTGCACCGCCGGCGTTCGCAAGAAGACGGAATACAAGCAGCTACCTAGAGGCTACGCCGAAGTTCTCGAGCACACCCAATTCGCCCTCATTGCCACCGTCCATAAGTTGTACTCCATGGTTAGGAACCAACAACAATGGGACCTTGGTGAACCCGAGCTCAACGATAGAGGACAGCCTGTCATCCACAACATTGCCCAGAAGCTTGGATGCATCCGCCCGAACAGCGATATCGACTTGCCAGTTCACTCGGTGTTCCCTGAGGACGAGGCGGGCTTGGCCGAGTTGGCGCGCCAACTGGAGGAACAGCAAAAGGAACGCGATGTTGAGAAGGCCATGAAGGTCGAGGTCGATTCTAACTCAAGTTGCGAGCGTTCAGACCGCGCAAGCTCTTCCGACATTGATCACTCGGAATTCGAGGCCGACTACCGCAAAGCTGTCTTTGGCGGCCACAACAACCCCATGACCATGTCTCCGCAAAGCTTCTCTACCGGATACACTGAGTTCGACGTAGACTCAGTTGCCTCGCCCATCGATCCCACCGCCGCCATGTTTCAGCAAAATCAGTCCCCGCCCATGAACGCTTACCAACAATGGAATATGCCCAGACAATCAGCACCCTCTTCAATGGATCTCGCTCAGCAATTCTTCCAACATCCCGGCGCTCTCACCAACATGGACATGCTTAACCAAGGCCTGATCGAGTCAGAATTCGGCACCATCAAGCCTCACGTTCTTAACTGTCCGAATCCGGAAGTCATGATGGGAATGGGCGACCCGATGATCTACGGGGGCTATGACGGCGAGCCAATGCGACTGTAACCCCAACATTCCAGTCACTGAGCATTTCGAGTACGGATTATGAGTTATAGAGTTGGGGCTTTCGGTCGGGCCACGGCCATCAGGCGCACAGAAGACATTGGGGTCATGGGATTTTGCGAATTTACGGGATTTTCAATGATACACCGCGAAGGCGTTGCTTTTTCTGGGAAAGGACCCTCCCCACATCTCGCGAGAGAGAGAAAAAGGCGTTTGACGGTTTTTTTTGGTGGTTTGATTTTATGTTTTGTTTGGTCAAACTCGGATGAGGTTAATCGCCACCGTTCAAGGTATTTGGGGGCAATAGTGAGCGGGAAACGGCCTTTAGGAAGAAGGATTTATTAGCATTGAGGTGAACGATTTTTCATGTTGCAACGACACCAAAAATCGAAACCATTGTATCAACTTTTTTCTGAACTCGTGTCTACTCTGTTTCTTTTGCTTGTGTGATTTCCCTTGGGATGAGCTTTAGAGAAAAGGTTTATCTTGCCGACCACCCCTCCTTTCAGAGAGTTGGGACGAGGACAAGCTTGCATAAAGCTAAACCCCCGGGGGGGGGGGGGGGGGAAGAGGTCAAAGTACCTCTTCCATCCCCAATGTAAAAAAAAAAACAGATATACTCACAATAGCACCACTCTTCGAGTCAACAGAACTCTTTTTGGCCGTTCTTCGATCGTGCAATCTCTTCCTAATTTGGATTGTAAGACAAACAAAAGTCCGTGAGCTTTCTTCAAGCTCAGGTCGGCGAATGCCCAAAACCAAGTAACTCTGTAACCTCGTCATAAATCATTGTAATTTTTTTTTTTTTTGCAGCTAGCTACCTTGTTTGCCGACTGGCTCCTCCTCCCCCCCTGCTGTAACCTCCCAGGTTTTGACTTCACGCGTGTAGAACTATGGGAGGGCATGACGCTACCAAAAAAAAAAAAAAAAAAAAAAAAAGACGGTGACAAGAAACTCTGAAAAAGTCTACTTGTCTCTTGTCTCACACTCTACTATGCTGGCACTACACTACCCTGACCTGATCCCCGGATATGGAACGAACTGCTACCAGAAATTACCCTCCCTAGTGTACGCAGTAGGCCATTGGAATCGGCGACGGCATGCTACGCTACCGTATCAGCGGGCACCCTGCGGCCTTGCCTGCCCTGTGCCCGCTCGGCTTACACACACTCTCTAGTCTCTAGGTCTGCCCGCAGCGCAGCCCAGAGAAGAATCTTAAAAGAGGATCTTGGGTTTTTGTTGCTTACCAGGAGCCAGCTCCGTCGGTCAAGCCAGCGCCCCCCCCCCCCCCAATTTGCCCTGCGAGCATGCCAATTTTGTTGCTCTCAGGGTTACCGACGCTGCGACCGACGCCCCGGAGGGTTTGGAGCGAATGCGACGCTCAGAGTTGCCAAGGGGATGAGCCACGGGGTCTCCACGTCACGACTTATAATTCTCTCCAGGGGGGGAAGGTCGGCGGCGGAGTAAGGTAAAAGGTCGTTTCTCGCCGCCGCCGAAGGGGACGGACGAACATCAATGAGACAGTTGCAGGGCCTAAAATTCCGCAGGGAGACAACTGTCAGAAGCCTGCTGCGCTGTTCTAGTCAGTGTCGCATCAGGTAGTAGTCATTGGGAGATGAAGATGGCCTCACCGTACCCATCGGCGACCTTCACAACAAGCTCCTGACACGATTGCGGCCTGCCAAATTCCCAACGCGACGTGATACTTTCTTCAAGCTTCTGGTGGCCCCCACTTGGTGACTTGATCGACCGTACAGCTCAGCAGCCGTGCCAGCATCTCTCATGAGATTTGGGGGCCGAAATGACAGCGATGGTGCAACATGGCATGACTAGACAAAGCTCCCATGTTGCCAAACGTAGACTACCGGCCTCCTTTTTGGTTTACTGCCATGTGAAATGAGCCGCTTGCTGGTCGTATATCGCATCACCACACGCAACGATCAACAGGTTCGAATCGGTGCGGACCAAACGAGTCTTCCAAGTCCGCCGAGAAGGCGGGCGAGCAGTCGGTCAGGCGTCGTCACGCCCCTCATCTCTAAGCCACTTGGTAGAGTCTTGGTCAATTCTGGTTCTGGACAAAGGTCCCACTGGAGCATCCGTGATCCTTGTTGGTCGATCAAGGGGTGACAGGGGAGGGTGTGTGGTTGCGCCAGCAGTTGTCGATGGTTCTGCATCTGCGGCGGCGGGCTGGTAAGTGGCAGGGCGCAAAAGCCAACGGTCTGCGCAAAGACGCACCCAACGCACAAACCGCACACCCCCAGATTGTAGTATAGACGAGGAACCAACTCTGGCGGGTAAAGGCTTACTGGTGCAGGTAGGATGAGGATGAAGCAGGGTTGCTCCCACGAGAAAAAAGCAGAGACGAGTGAAAATCAAAAAAAAAAACTTTTCCAAAACACACGACGGAAAACCATCTGAATGTGTCCGCCCTACGATGTGCTTCGATCCCGAGAGTCCACGCCGCGGCGACCCACAGTGCATGTTCCACTAAACGCGGGAAGCTCAGGGCGCTGTTCATGCGATAATGCTACGTTTGGGAATATCAGGCGGGCTATGGCGCGGGTCGAGGGGTGATTCAGGTTGACCGTTAAACAGCGTTGCTGTCTATTGCGCATCACATACGGATAGTATACTCCGTACTTGGTGATTGATTACGGAGTATGGCACTTTGCGCGACAGAGAAGGGGGTCGCTAAGTGGTTGGAAATCGAATTATGATCTCGGCGTTTGTGACGGAGGGCGGGACGGGAAGTTGTAAACCCCGCGGTCCGACAGTGGATAACCCATGATGAGTCGATTTCTTTTATGAAAGACTAGTTCCATCGTCTTTGTTCGGGTCCGAAGATTGAGTGAGGTGGACTTTTGTTTTGCTTCTCTCTTCTGCCCCAGATAAGCCCGGGGGGTCATTTTGCTGTCCACGGACATCAAACATGGCCGATGACAATGTCTGAAGGGACTCGGGCAGGTGTTGGCAATGACACCTTGTGAGTTCACGTGTTGGGCTGGGCGGATTGTCAGAGTTGGGTTGACGATGCTGGGGAACCCCTGGTTGCTAGTTTGAGCGTTGCTTTGGCCTTTGGAGTTCAAGGCGCTTTGTCAGCGGGCCGCTTTGGTTTTTGAATGGGCCAGACCTCTCTCTGTCCAGGACGACAGGAAGTCAGCCTGTACGAAAGTTTCTGTTGACTTTCTGTGGTGGACATGATCGGCTGCCGTCAAAGTAGACTGCCCAACATGGGAAGCTTGTACAATGGTTGAGGCCCTGGGCGAGGCCTTGGGTGGGACACGTTGTAAATCTCCTCTCACCTGCACCAAGGAGAGCAGAAAGCAGGAGGTGTTTCCGTACGGATCGGTCCAAAGTGAGGACCAGAAGCCTCTCGGCCGCAGATTTCGGATTTCTCGCATTCGGGTTTCCTCCTCCAGACTTTTCTCCCCTAAGTCTCTGACAATTCTATTGTCGTGCAGAATAAAAGTGTGTTCATGGTTCGTACGGGACGAGGGTATCCATTGCCTGGCTGAGTCCAGGACTCCAGGCAGTGGGTAAGCTCCGCTGTCAGAAGACAGCCGAAACGCAGTGATGGGGGATGTTGGCTGTTCCAGTGAAATTGTTCCCTCCTATTCTGTCCTTCTCGACTTGTTCTTCTCTTTGCTCCATACGCAAGCAGCCAGTCGGACTGCAACACTATCTCGCCCCGTCCCACTCTGTCCACATTGTCGGGATCGGAGAGAAATGAGTACTTCGTACGGGCTGTTGATGACCAACCGTCAACGTGGTTGGTGGTACCCTGACAAGGGATCCCGTATTTTAGGCAGGTGATCGTAAAGGATCGGCCGCTTGTAGTTGAAATTATGAAATGAACGCGGCTTTTGTGCAAGCCTCGGCAGCTCGCGGTGCCGAGCTGGGGGTCCATCGGGCCCTAATGCACATATACGCCGTATCTCCATCGCCGTCATCGCCGCCATGGAGCGGCCGGGGTGTGGAGGGCCGCCGAGGGCTTTCAATTTGCGCAATACCCATCGGTTTGGACCCGTCTAGTTGGGGGTGGGCTTTTAGGGTTCGAGGTTAAGAATATGATACTGGGCAGATTTGGGGGCAGAAACAAGGTGAAAATTTCTGCGCCCAGTCCATTGGTATTTTGGAATAAGGCGCGCTTGTTTGGAGAATGCAAAATGGATATGCGTTTGATTGGCGCTTGTCTTGGCTTGCTTGGTATTCTTGGAAACGCAGTCCGCGGGCTCGGAGCGCCGGTGCGTGACGACGGCCGAGTGCCAGAGAGTCGGTGTCCTCTAGGGTCCTTGTCTAATAGCAGCTTGGCATCAAATTCCGTCCGGCGAGGAGCCAAGACTCAGGACACGTCTTTGAATAGGTTGGCATCTGCGAGCGCCCAGTGAGTAGGGAGTACCAACCGTCAACCGGTCAAGACTCAATGGCAGCCATTGACGATGGTGTAGCATCCGTCAAGGTATCCGTAATACCGTATGGTCACTATGGTGTACTCCGTATCCCCGTAGGAATGAACTCGTAAGGTCCAAATGGTAAAGGGGCTGTGGCGGGTGGTTGCGGGAGTGCACGTGAACTGTGTTCTCCCGGATGGTTTTCTTCACGCGTACATTGACCAAGGAATCAAGGATCTGTCAGGGCCACATTTCGCATTTGGCATTTCGCATCTTGTCTCCACGTCAATTCCGGTGTCGTGTGCATGCGTTGCCGTAGTGTACGCAGTAGTGTAGTCGCTGCCTGGCGGGGTCTCGTGCGTTGATGTTGATAGGTAGGCGATCCGATGGGCTGATGAAGTTCTGAAGTTGTGATGGAGGGTTGATGGTAGGTTGACTTCGCAGGGGCGGATGTTTCTCGGGTCCGAGGAGCTTAGCAAGGAAGGACTGCGCGAGGTTGCGCTGCGTGCAGTCTGTACGTACTACTCCGTACGGATTACAGTAAGGTATGTACTATGCAGCCTGCCTGCAGGTGGGATCATGGAGGAGGTGCTTTGGTCCTATTCCTCTCCCTACCTTCGCTCCTACTCATGGTCGTAAGCTCATATTCCTCCGTCGATCCTCCCGGGGTTCAGCTGCTGGTTTCGCCCGCAAAGGGACACAGGACCCTGGAACAGCTGGCTCGCTCTTGACCCATGGTGGTAGTGTACACCGTAAGAGTGTGCGCGTATTCCCGCATTAGTATCCGGAGGTTGGAGGAGCAGAGAGCCATCCTGCACGCCTCGTACTTTCCGAAACCGTCCAGCGCATATACCTGATGTTGGCAGGTACACAGTAGACCACAGGCAGTACTCACGCATGGGAACTTTGGAGTTGCATCCAGAGAGACGGGTTTGGACTATGAGAGCTTGAAATGCACAGAACGCAGCAAAGGTCCATGATTGGCCCGGACAGGTCCACTTCAGAACGACTTTCAAGGTACGTCTCTCTTTCCCACCATTTGCTGTAAGGAGTATTCATCCAGAGTAGCTACTATGTACTGCACTCACCTCCAACAACTGACTGCTGCCAACCACGTTCACAGCCCTTTTCCTACGGCTTCTTCGACCAAGATTGCCTGCATACGTCGTACTTCGTACTTTTTCTCTCCTCTCTTTAGGCGCCAAGGCCCTGCCCTGGGCAATTAGGTTCAGTTGGCTGAAAAGTGGCTGAGCTGTGGCCCTATCCGCTTCCCCGCAACTCAACACGCGTATTGGCGTATCTGCCCATGCCTGTTCTGCTCTGGGAAACTTGGGAACGCCTCACCTATCTCGCATTCCTCGCATAGACCTCACCTGTCCTCGTTTTCGCTCTCGTGGTGCGACTGACCGTGGTCTTTCTACGAATCTGCGACCGATGCCATCGCTGTCAATCTCAGGCTATCAGCAAAGCCATGCCGAGCAGCCGTTCTCACCAACCATTGCACGATGCGAAGTTTACGAAACTTGTCGAGGGGCACTTCTGCCAGTCAAGACACGAGTTCACTGCTTGTAAATTGCAGGCTATCACATTGTGGCTCTAGGTACTCAGGTTGGCGCCCCCAGAAAACCAGCCCCAAGCAATACCTACTAGCTGGGCGAGCATGTTTTAACCTTGATTAGCTATTGTCGAATCAAGAGCTCCTCGCCAACTCCATTTTAACGTCTTGGCCGACCATTTGCCCCCAAATCGGGTGGCCGTGTCTCTCTTGGCGCTCTGCATACGCCGTATTGGCATCTCGTCATTCACCATAACGCTGAGAGCAGACATCGTTATGCTTTTCCCTGTCAAACCACACCACGACCACCATGTCATGCCAACCTCTGAACCCCGCCCTAAGCCTTGTATTCGTACCTGGAGGGGGTCTGTGAAATTGCACCGCTTTTGCGGCCTTCTGGGTGGTCTAGGCCTATGCCAATGTTGTTGGCGCAGCAATCTGGATTGAACAAGATATGTTGATACCTGAGTCGACTTCGAGTGACTTTACCCAAGTCTCCTCAAGTCTCTTCATGTTACTCCCCAGAATGGCACCTGTCCGCCATGGAAGAAAACCCCGTCGTGGATCTCCCCAAGGCTTAGCGCGATGGGCTCTGTTAGACGGTGTCACTACGCCAAGCGCGGTAGCGGAACGATGTCGACGAACTAACATCTGAAAGGTGCCTTCCTCAAAGGACCACCAATCGGTTTCATCTTTGAATCCCCCTTCACCTGACCATCAGATGACGGCCACAAAAAGCATCGCGCAATGCTCTGGACTACGGAAAACTTTACGGCCCTGCCGTCCTCATATCAAAACCCACGGAAACCTTAACGCGGACGTTGCGATTATCGCAATATCGGGCTCCAGGCGGCCTATACACGCAAGACGCTGCCGACAAATGTATCCCATTTAGAGGTAAACCCAGTCTCAGTAAGTGTGTCACCGGTGGTTTTCTAATAACTGTCATTGTAACAGGGGCTTTCATTCCCAATATTGCCTGATATTGCCAAATCCAAGGCGCCACAGTCAGTCTGACAGACGAGAATGTTCCCCTTCTCGCATGGAAGTTGAGTCAGGTGGCGTTTTAAGGCCAAAAGTTCTGCCCACTCACCATCTCATAAGACACGACAATTTCTCGAATTGCAGTATTGGATGCTTGCAATTGCCTGCTTTTGGATTGGCATCGAACAATCCTACGCTGGATACTGGAAGATCGGCATCGCGATGTGCCACTGCCCTCAGTGATCAGTCATTGGCAGACCCGTGGCGTGCTAACAGACAAAGTCTCCGCACACTTGCAAGGCCGTGGACACAGAGACTCCAAAAGGCCCGACGTCGCGTTGGCAAACTCAATGCCAGTCGTTTGGGTCACGCTAAGCAACGATTACTTCTCGTCATCAGCACCTTAATCACCTTTGTAGAGTTGCAATTTGCCCAAAAATAACGTTCGCTGTTGATGGACAGGGTGGAGGGGCGCCGATTGAATCGCGAAGCCTGTCAGCTTACCAGCAGCAGGCAGTGAAATGAGGCTAATGCAGATCTTCTGCCCAAGTTTCAATAACAGGTGTACAGAGATTACCCGCCGGACGGAAGACGCGATTACTCGACCTATGGTATTCGTACTGCCGTCCAGTCACCGGCTACAAAACTCTCCATCTTGACTAGAGGAATAAGCCAAACAGAGATTGGGGCTCGTTCAATCCCACGTCAGCAGCAGATATGCCTCCTGAACACAAGGCCACAAGTTTGATAAGAATACCGGCTTGATGGCGGCATCGTCCCTTCAACCTCAGTCTCATAGGCTGTTTGACATCTCAATCTACGCAGGTGATGGCGCTCGTCAACGCCCGCAGCTTGTGTCGTGCGTGTCACGAGGTTGGAGATTGATCACAGTGGGGAGGCCATGGCCTAGCCACAATGACTTGGAGTGAGCAACGACTTCCTAGAGTCAAATATTATCTTCTACCAACGCGGAACATCGCTGGATCTGGAGGGGAAGTGGGCTAATTACTGGTTCGCCCTATGCCAAACTCTGAGAAAGCTTATTGACTCGGATACAGGCCTTTCAACATGTCGACAATCTCACCTTTCAAGAGAGGAAACTTAAATTCAGACGAAGTTGGGGGCTACGCCTACAGTCCGCCTATCTAGCATTGAAGATCGAGAATCGGACCTGCCTCCGTAAAGGGAAGTGGGCGGGCGGGCGGGAGCGGTGACTGGGACTCGAAAAGGAGTTCAGTACGTTTAGAAAAGTCTATTCACTGTGTTGGGGATTCGGCGCGCGCGAGTCGCGGTTCATCCTTTCTTGGCACGGCAAAACAGAAGTGCGAAAAATTGGCCACCCCGGTCACAACGAAATAGTCGGCGCACCGCCGTCTCCGTCTCCATGGTATAGCGCGCGTCAAAAAAAAAAAAAAAAAAAAAAAAAAAAAGGGGGTGACGGGGTGGAAGAAATAAGGTTAAGCGGCAGCGATTGGGGATGCGACGTCGTTCACAGGGATATATGCTGGTACCAAGCGCGAGGCTTTTTGAAAAGCGTTCATTTGCGTTTGGATGTGGTTTATTCACATGGACCACGGCAGGGAAGGGGTCTTTGGCCGCTTACATGGTTTCACGGCCTTCATCTTGTCCTATCCCCGGCCCGCGGGCTTGGCCGGGGTCCGGGGTGCGGACAGTAGGGTTTGGATTCTACTCCGCTTTTCCTCCGCGATTGGGCGCGGAGCTTCGGTTTCGGGCGTATATCCGAAAGCCAAAGGGTCACTTAATCATCAAGGTAGCACCGTACCAAGGCAAAGAGGGTAGGACGACGCGCAGGAAGGTCCATCGCGGTGGAATTGTTGCTTGGACTGGTGACATTGGCGCTGGGCGGAAGTTTGGCGGAGGTCTCACGCGCGGCGTGGAGTCTGTGAAGTTATTCCGAATCTCAAGGAAAAGTCGCCGAGTGGTGGTTTATTCTTGCGTGGTAAGCATAACGTGGAC